GATATTAGCTTTCTTTTGTTTTTCTCTCTAGTGCTAGAATGTAGGCAAAGAGTTACTGAGTTTACTTGAAGCTATTGGGAATCACACACACGTTTTTAAACTTGTGCTTTTAAGCGTTTTTCACAAAACACTATTTTTTCACAAGTATGAGTACCTATCTGCAAAATTCTTTTTCCAAATAGTTTGTTTTTAGTATTAAAAACATTTTACAAAGTTTCAGAATTTTCAGAGGTCAAATGAATATTTTGGAAATATTTCAACTTGGTCAAATAACCTGATTTCAGAATATGTCAGAAATCGGTCGACCGGTCCCGGTCGACCGATCCGATGACCTTTCTTCAACTATGTCTCCAGAGTGTCGTCGGTCGACGCGATACGGTCGACCGATTTTCTCAACCTTAATCGGTCGACCGTGCGCGGTCGACCGATGAGTCTCTGGATGTTTGTCAAACTCCTTAGCTGCTGGCGGTCGACCGGATTTTTTCGGTCGGTCGACGAAGGTATTTTTCGGTCGACCGATATTTTCTTCGGTCAACCGATTTTTGCCTCTGTTCAGCCGCGATTTTTTTAAAACGGTCGTTTGCCTCGAACCCTGTGCTTTCACTATGTTAGTGATTGCACAGTCTGTGATGAGGGTCTGAAGAAGAGATTATTATCTCATTTGGGTATATTTGTTTTTGTTTTAAAATGATTTAAACTCTCCTATAAAATCCGCCAGACCTGCTTGCTTCTTCTTACCATCTAAGCAACCTAACGTTGAAAAACCAGAGAGCTTTTTCTGTTTCCTGAGTAAATTTTCAAAACTCTGTTTTTCTCTCTGTTTCAAGTGTGTTTCACTTCCCAGCTTCAGTACTCTTCTCTTTGCTATAGGGGCTTGTGTAAAGAGAGGTTCTTGCTTGTTTTTTTCTTCTGCTGCTGTGTGGTTGAGATCTGTGGAGATCTACTGTGAGGGAGTGTGATCTGTGAGATCAAACTGTGTAGCGAGAGAGAGATCTTGTGGGATCGCTGTGTAGACGAAGTTCCGGCTTCCAAACCGGATGTGTTAGTGGATTTCTCCTCGAGAGTGGGGAGCGGGGACGTAGGTCAGCGGGTCGAACCTCGTTAACACATCGCGCGTCAAGGATAACGATTCCTAACTCTATCTCTTTCTATTTGATTGCACTTCTGTTTTGTGGTTTGCTTGTGCTGAGTTTTAAATTGCATATTAGAGCCTCTTGACCCTAATCACCCCCCCTCTAGGGTCCAACAATCACGACTGCTCCCAATCAGGCCTGAATTTTCTAACTCCTTAATTTGTTTATATTATTATATTCCTGTTTTGACAGCAAGTTTCTCATGAGATAAACTCTTTCCTACTATTAGATTACACATAGGAGGATATACAAAAGGCAGTCAGCAATTTAAATCCCCTTAAAGCTCCGGGAAAGGACGGGCTCCCAGGTCTGTTCTATCAAAAGTTTGGAATCTTACCAAAAGAGATGTCACCCAGACTTGCTTAAAATTTTTGAACGACAGCTACATTTTCAGTGAGCTTAACGAAACTCTTATAGCATTTATTCCCAAAGTTAAGGGTGCCATGAAGATGGAAGACTTCCGCCCGATAAGTTTATGCAACGTCGTATACAGGATCGTGTCTAAATGCCTTGCGGACAGATTGAAGATCAGCCTGGATAAGATTATATCGAGCTCTCAAAGTGCTTTCGTTAGCGGGAGATTGATTCACGACAATGCAATTATTGGGTTTGATGGGCTGCATAGTATGAAGAAAAACAGATTTGGGAATGGCACGAAAATGACTCTCAAACTTGACATGGCTAAAGCTTACGACCGGGTTGAGTGGGAGTTTATTCAAGCAGTGATGTTAAGGCTGGGGTATGACCAGATTGGGTTAAAAAGATCATGAGATGTGTCAGTTCGATGACTTTTTCTTTCTTAATCAATGAGCAACTGAAAGGAAAAGTTTATCCTCAAAGGGGTTTGAGGCAAAGCGACCCCCTCTACCCCTTCTTATTTCTTTTTGCAAAGGCCTTATCCTGTTTAATCCAGAAAGCACGGTTGGAAGGAAAAATTAGTGGGCTGAGTTTTGGGAGTAATGGCCCTTCGGTGATGTACCTTTTTTTTCGCTGACGATAGTATTTTGTTTATGGGTGCTAGTGTTGAGGAGGGCAATGTGGTGAAAAACATTATGGATATTTATTCAAAGGCGTCGGGTCAGAAAGTCAATTTTAACAAGTCCGAACTTTGCTTCAGAAAATTGGTGAGCTCTCTTGACTATCAACAACTTGCTGGCTGTGTTGATGTTGTTGTCAATAACCACTTCCAAAAGTACCTTGGAATGCCTTGCTTTGTGGGAAAGAATAAGAAAGACATATTCAAAAGTATAAATGATCGTATTTGGAACAAGCTGAAATGGTGGAAACGGTCTTTATTCTCGGCTGCTAGGAAGGAAGTTCTAATCAAATCAGTGATCCAATCAATCCCTAATTATGTCATGTCTTGTTTGAAGCTCCTAAAGAATTGCCTTAATAGTATCCAAAGCCTCATGGCTCGATTTTGGTGGGGTTCAACGGAAATAAAGAAAAGGATTCAATGGAGTAAATGGTCGGAGTTGTGCAAGAGCAAATATCGGGGTGGCCTTGGTTTTAAAGATCTTGAAGCTTTCAATCAAGCTATGCTCAGAAAACAAGTTTGGAGATTTATTCGAAACCCGGATTTATTGGTGGCCAAGGTGTTAAAAGAATGTTACTTCCCTAGAGGGAACATTTTGGAGGCCAAATTGGGATCTAATCCCTCTTTTATATTGAGGAGCTTGTTATGGGAAAAACAGCTTATTGAGAAAGGGTACCGATGACGTGTGGGCTCGGGGGAAGATATTTGGATTCTTGAGGATAAATGGCTACCAAGGTCGTCCTCCTTCTCTTTCATTGACAAACATTTCCTCCTTGATGACCTTAAGGTGATTGACCTTAGATTGGAGGATGGCCAATGGGACTCTAATTTTATTAAGTTCATATGCAACAAAGAAGATGCTGATGTTATTTTGGGAATCCCAGCTGGGTCTTTGGAGAGCAAAGCACTTCACTCCCAACGGAGAATACTCAGTGAAAAGCGGCTATAAGCTTGCTATTAATCTTAAGGAGATGGTGGATGCCTCTAATATGAAAGTTTCAGAGGGGTGGTGGAATTTATTATGGAAGTTGAGAATTCCTCCTAAAGTTCAAAATTTCTTAAGGAAGTTAAGCCACATTTGGCTTCCGACTAACAATGTTTTGCGATGCAGGAAAATAAAGGGCTCACTGGTTTGTGGGAGACAAGGCTGCTCTTATCACTATGAACATTGGCATCATGCCATTTGGGGCTGCAAAAAAACTCAATAATTGTGAAAAGTGAGTGGATTCAAAAAGATTTGTAATAGAAGTGGGAGTGAGGATTCTGTAGAATTTTTGTCTAGAATTGCTAAGATTCTTCCTATGGAAAAGTTTGAATTTTTTGTTATGCTTGCCTGGCATTCTTGGTATTTGAGAAACTGTGAGATTACAGGGAAAGCCTTCCCTAATGCTAGTGCTTCTGTGGATTGGGTAGCTGGATACACTAAGGACTTTCAAGAGTCCCTTCCCTCTGTGAAATCTAAATCTTGTAGCAATAGTGTCAAGTGGGATCCTCTTGCTTCTGGTATGGTGTGCATCAATGTGGATGCGGCAGTAGACAGAAACGGAAGTGGTTGTAGCAGTGGTATTGTGGCTCGGGTTCACAATGGTGTTGCTCTTTGCTCTAGAGGTAACTACTACATAAATCCATTCTCTCCTCTTGTTGCTGAGATTATTACTATAAAAGATGGGGCCCTTCTTGCCAAGGAGAGGAAGTGGAATCAATGGTTTATTGTCTCTGATTGCCACAATGCCGTAGATTTATTGAGCAATCCAGAGGTTCAAAGTGGAGAACTTGATCTACTTGCTGATGAAGTTAGGTCCCTAGCTGATTGTTCTAGTTTCAAAGGCTTCATCTACAAGCCTAGGGATTCTAATGGTGTGGCTCATCTGTTAGCAAAAAAGGCTCTTGGTGATCACAAGGCCTTTGATTGGGACGAGGGTGTGCCCTCTGTGGCTTTCAGTGCATTTATGGCTGATATGTCTTCCCTTTGTTAGTTGTTTTGTTCTTTGGTATTTAGTCTGTACTCTTCTTTTAAAAAAAAGAAAATAATTGAAAAAATCGACTCATTCACAAAATATTTGTGAAAACCGATCCAGTTTCAGCCGTCGGGCTGAAACTGGGTCGGTTTTGAAGAAAAATCTTCTGAAACTTCACAGGACTTCAAGTCCCGTGAAGTTCTTGTACATAACAAAACTTCACGGGACTTGAAGTCTCGTGAAGTTTCAGGACATATTTTGTCAAAACCAACCCAGTTTCAGCTAGACAGTTGAAACTAGGTCAGTTTTGACAAAATTTTTTAAACTAGGTCGGAATTTGTGATTTTTTTTTCTATAAATAGGATGGTTTTCAAATTTATCCTTTTTTTTGAGAAAAAGACTGGATTATCGAAATAGTAATCCAGCCAGCTAAATTAAACAAAATTGGTTGTTACAAAAATAGTACACATCACCAACCTAGAATGTGTACACTAGTTCATCTAAGCTTTACAATAAACTGCACCAAGTCTTCTCTCCTACTAACAACTATCAACAACATATCCTAAAGTGTAGCATAAGACCAACACTTATACATTTATCCTTTATTAGTTGTTACATTTCATGTACCTTATGCGCTATTTTTCTTGGTTAGATTATGATCATGGGATTCTAACGTTACAATTAATTACTTTCCAGTTAATCTGAGAGTAAAAAAAGTAATTCATCATATGCTCTCGCATCTAAATACGACTAATCTCGAAACACTTAAAAGGGTTCGGCGACTATTTCAAAATATGAAGATTTGAGGGACTAATTCAAGATACTTTAGGATATGAAGGACTAATTTCAAACTATTAAAATTAACATATCAAGTTATCATGCAAGGAACGCTATCACAGGTAGCTTCAATCAAACCGATCCAAAAGACCCAAGTACATTTCCAACCACCAAAGCATACAAACTACACAACATACAAGAAACACTGAATTAACAAATAACCCTTGCAGGTGCTAACAAGCATCTTATGTACCAATTCCATCATCATTCCCTTTCCTGCCAACTAAAACACATAAAAGGATAGTATGGTGGATTTTCTTCCCATCTTCAGATAACAGAGGGAAAGCACTGCTTTCAGCATCAGAACCTGTACATATTATCTACCCGCTACTCCATTTGTCTGAGAGTCCCCCTACTTGGAGCACCAAAACTACACTCCTCAGAAGGATAAAAGTTTGAGCCACAACTCCTACAACGTACTACGTCAACACATACATGGAGCAAAGTATATATTGATATCCTAATTTCATAATAACAGTAAAGTGAAGCTTATTCCCTTAAAAATCCGAAGAAAAAGATGCCAGTTATGAGCAATCATGCATCTGCTTTATGATCGATCAAGTGTCAATATCTGGTGGTAGCCAAATTTATGCATGAATTCCAAAGCAGGTCATAGCGAAAGATTGAGCCACTTTATTTAACACAGTCCATTAACCAGGCACTGATTCAGAAGTTATAGGCCCATGACTACCTCCATGAGCACTATATCCAGTAATTGGCATGGACCTCTGAGCAAAATCAAGTAACTGCTTACGCTGTTGATCATCAGTATGAGGAATGCTTGCTCGTAGCAGTTCCACGGGCATCTCTCTGCTTATAGCTCTACTCATCTCAGACCCAATGACCACAGTGTTAGGTGATTGCGTGAGCAATTGTTGCATTATACTGTCATATTTACTGAGACAATATTTTGTAAGAAGCCCAAAAAACGCATCAAAGGATGCTTGCCACAAAGATCGGTTGGACATGCTGTAGCTGCTGGCAGCATGTGGATCAATAAGTAGGTCAGTTGCTCTCTCCAAAACAGATTTTATAATAATAGAGGCTCCATCACCTGCAGAACTTCCTAATGGCCGGAGAGGTGGTTGTTCGGAAGAACAAACCACAGCAGCAAGGCAAGCACTGAGAGCACTGAGATCCATTCCATGAACACATGAAGACACGACCCTAGCAAGATCAGCCGTTGTTTCAGCTGCGCTTGAATCAGAGGGAAGACCGCCAAATAAAAACCTTAAATGACGGAATATTGCCATGCAAACAATTCTAGCAAGCTCGGTTCCAGGGTACAGAAGCTGAAGGAAGCGAGAAAGAAGCTTTCGACCCTTGGCAAGAGAGGCTAGTCGAAGAAACACAAGATCATCCTTTGGTGCAGGACCAACAGAATGTCCAGATTTACCTGGGCCAAGTGGATCAACTAGCTGAAGTGAAGCTGCAAGACCTTCTAGAAGGACCTGACGCCTTCGTCTCAGCTGAGTTCCAGCATCTTGTATCTGGCTGGACTGTAATAGGCGGTCAATATCATCTACATCAAGGAGAAGACAGAGCCCATCTTCAACAGCAATTCTGGCAGCCAACATAGGCTCTTGCTCAAGGGGCTTCACTGAAGATTTTTGCTCTAGGATTCCATCTCCAGATGATGGCAGATCAACTTCAAGGAGGGGGCGAGGTCTACGTATAGAAGAAAATGGGACCCTTCCCAAAGCATCAACTTGAAGATATGCATGTGGTTCGTTATTATTGCGAGATCTAGATGGCAAATCCCTGATAGATGAAGGACAGAATTGATGTTTCATCCGACAACCAGAAATTTTTTTTGCTAAGCAAGCTTGGTGGTAATAATCATCTATGTAAGGATCGTTACTGTGAGTTGCAGCATGCTGCATCCTTAGAATGCTTTCAATTTCTTCAGATGTCATGTACTTCGATCTGAATTGCGTCAGAGGAGTATCACCTGCCTGGCTGCCGTTCTCTGAACTGTGTTGAGAAAATCTCTTATTCTGTCTTCCCCTGGAAGAAGATTTTGGTCTATGTTCTCTATGTTCTCTAAGATCAGCCATCCCAAATATGGCATCAAATTTGTTCATCAAGTGAGGAGACGGAGGATGCGAGTTGAATAGTTGAGACTGCAAGTGCGGAAAGTGGGGAAAAGATGGCTGAATTTGCTGTAATCTCTGCTGCTGTTTTGACAACAGCTGCGATGGCAATAACCCATTTGGAAGAGATAACTGGTGTTGTAACATGTTAGACAACAAATTGGGATTCTCGCCAGTAAATAGACTAGCCTGGTTCAACCACTGGTTCTGGTGCCTACCACTAATGGAGAGGCCTGGAGCAAACTGCGCGATGTTTCCACCATAAGGTAGACCATTGGACAAATCGGCTAAATGAAGTTGAGGAGAGAATTGTGAGATATTGGGGGTAGTATAGGGTATCTGGAGAGTCGAAGGTATGCTAGCATGGCGTGATAGAACTTGAGATCGACCAACACCAGGTGAGGGTAGCAAAGTAAAAGAAGACTTGGGTGCAAGAACAGGATCACTTGAGTGCTGTTGTTGGGGTAGTGGCTGCGGATGCGAGGATGTTCTATGCAGTGGTTTTACTTCAGCAAACCGAGGACCAGAAATATGCGGTTGTGACCACCATCGCTTACCATCCTGCACATTTTCAGCATCTAGAATCTGTTGATCTAGCCAGTTTGAAAAGTCTCCCGTCTCCTGTGTCCAGTCTGCAGTAGATGAACCTGGGGGACACGGACGGATAAACATAAACTGAGATTACAACAAAATGACACTTTCAACCTAGCATTAACACATTAGAAGAATAGTAACACAAAAAGGAATGACTCTGGGCTGTTTAATTGATCTGCAAATCAAATTAAATTTAAATCCGCAAAAAATGTATACAGTTCGCCTTCCAGATTATAATAATTTTCACATTTTATGCACCAAAGAAACAGCAAAACCAATCAAGCTGTCTTTGTAATCCAATGTAAATTATAAATCCAGCAAAACAAACAGTGTCATGTTCATTAGGTACACAGAAGTTAGTAGGGCGGTAGAGAATTGGTCAGTGAACAAAATGAAGAATTCTTTGGCGGTAAGTGATTAAACAACCAAAATAATGTTAGGAATTAGGGTACATAAATGTTCACTATGGGCATGCAGGATCAGTAAAGCATGGACAATCGATCGCTGAACAAAAATCATAAGGATTAGTTACTATTTATTCCCTTTGCTTTCCTTTTTGTTTCACTTCTCTTTTTACTTAGCTACAATAAGGAAACAATTATAAGAATAAAAATAACTATGGCAATTTGTGTCAAAAATTAGTTCATAAATCAGATATGGCTACTAGGGTAACTTATCCCACCCCCCACCCCTAAAAAAAATCCTTTTTGTTTCACTTCTCTTTTTTACTTAGCTACAATAAGGAAACAATTATAAGAATAAAAATAACTATGGCAATTTGTGTAAAAAATTAATTCATAAATCAGATATGGCTACTAGGGTAACTTATCCCACCCCCACCCCCTACACATACATACATGTGTATATACACATACATGTATATGCCTATGTACACATACATGTATATGTATATGTATATATATATAAATATATGTACATACACATACGATAGCATGTGTAACACACAGGAGCCTATGCCGCGGACACACAGAAGGGAGCCGGCCTCCCCGGAGCGAACCAACACCTCAATATATATATATTGGTATAGTATATGTGATAGGTATAGTACTATAGTATATTATATATATGTATATTCATGAGAAAAATGGAGAACTTGGTACAAGTTGGGCTCCAAAGCAACTTGGTAGTGGATGTGGCCGTAATCTTCGTCCATACGATCTATATTGGCAGTTGGGTGAAGAGTGGGTTTGTGAGTGGCTGGCGCCTTATCTTCGAGGTGTGTATAGTAGTGGGGGCAAAGACCTAGGAGTGGGTGGGGACGAACCACAATCACCTTTACCAAAGTTGCTTTATAGCATACCTTGAGGTACCAAGGTTCTCCATATTGCATTCTATATATATAGTACTGTTATACTACTATTAATTATATATATATAATATATATATATATTATATTATTGGAGTTGCTTGGTACCCCGAAGCAGCACCATTTTGGTGGCTCTTGTAGTACATCGATCGTTCTACATCCTGGCATCCACTCACTACTCAGTGTGGAATGTGCTTTCATAATTTTAATGCTGTAGTACGGGGATGATGAACACATCACTATCCACAAAGACCTCCAAAAAAAAAACAGACCCCGAGGGCCCATTGCAACTTTTTCGTGGCTTTGGTAAACAGGAGTACCCATTATTGGGCTCCCTAATAAGTATATAGTATTATACATATGTCCCTAATAAATAATATAAATTATAGTAATCATATTATATAGTAGTCGTACTCATAAATATTGATAGGTATATACTGAGGAAAAATGGGTATACTTGGTACCCGATGAAAAAAGATCACATGTTGTGGAGTCGGATGTGGAACCACAATCGGTTGCCCTCCATACATCACACCTTGAAGATGGAGCCTCACCAACTCCAAGGTGTAATGTATGGACAAGATGTGTCCACATCACTACCAAGGATCCTTGGCCCAAGTATTCCCATATTCCTCTATATATATATATATATATATATCCCCCAAAAAAAAGATATCAGAAAATATCAACAGAACCTGTCAAGCTCAGAGTTGCTAGTATCGTTTTTCCTAAAAACTTCATATATTATTCTTGCTGCCCAGAAAGTTAAAAAGAACATGGTATCTAAGAAAGTGGAGTGCGACGGTGTTACTTACTTCCTCTCGAGAATGAGCCTCTATCACCAATAACTCCAGTGTTCCTTGGTTCACTAATATTTCTATTCAACTGCGAGCAGAAAAAAGAAGATTACCACTTTTAAAGGGCAAATGACGTGTAAATGAAATAAATTTATAAAGAAAAAAGATTACAACTTTTGAGTAATCCCTCCATTATATAAAGAGTGGAACTTTTGAAGGCACAAAAAATTGACATGTGTCATATTATAAAGACAAGAAAAAATGACATGTGTCGTATTATAAGTACTCATGCGTCCCTCTATTCTATCAGAAGATAACATGCAGAAACCTAATATTTTATTATCTAAGAATCCTCATCAAATTTACACTATTAATAATTAAAAATTCTAATAGTTAAATATTTTGCAATTGTTATCAGATCATAACCATCCATAATTAAAAAAATCTCATAATCATATATTTAAATATAGAAATTAGAGAAAAAAACTCAAGTAGAGAGCCACTTTACATAAAATCATGGGTTAATTTAGAAAAACCTCCTCAATTATAGGGGTGCATTAGAAAACCCCCTCAACTATTTTAAGTTGAGAAAATTATCCTCAAATTTAAGCATATTGTCGATAACCCCCTGATCTATCAAAATTTGAGACAACCCCCTTGAATTTCTCACTTAACTCTCCTCAATTATGGGTAGGGGTGGAAGCGGACCAAATAAGTAACAAATAGTTTGTTAATTATTCGACTAACTATTCGGTCATATTTGATTCAATAGTTCATTTAACATTAAGTAAATAATATTTAGTATTCAAGTTCATTAACGAATAGAATTTAACTAGGCATATATTCGATTCATTTGCTTATCAAATATTCGTCTAAAATTTGATATCTTGTAATATGTATTATTACGCATATGATGTTATATCTTCAACCCGCTTATATTTTCTACTTAAGTTCCATATATTAATTTTGAGGGCCTTGAAGAATCTTAAATCAGTTTTCTAGATAAAATATTCGATATATATATATATAACTATGAAGAAATAATTTCTATTTATGAATTTAAATACTATTTAAAAATTAAACTCTTTAGTGGAATGAATACACTTTGATATTCGATGGATATTCTAAATATTCATGAATATTTATCAAATATCAAGTATTTGAGTTCGAATTCGAAAAACTCCGGACATGGATATTCGTATTTGAGTTCGAATACGACTTGTTTACCACCCCTACCTGCAGCTATAAATAGCCCTTATCTAATAGGGGTGGAAGTTAACCAAATAGTTAATAAACAGTTCGGTTATTATTCGTCCAGATATTTGGTCATATTTGATCGCTAGTTCGTTTAATTGGTAAACAAATATGTTGGCCTTCTTGTTTTGATGATGTTTAACAAACAATTTATAACTAATGTTGTTTGTCTAGTGCTTGTATTATCTATTCATTGTAGACAAACAACATTGTTGGAGGATGGATGAAATAGAGCTTCAACGATCATATCCAAATGAGGTTGGCGGAATGTCGGTGAAGCCTTGCAATTCAAAGTTAAAGATCAAGTTCAAGCTTCATCCGTATATGAAACAAATGCATAGAATTGGAAAATACTATTTTGTTTCATGTTTATATGCCTACATATGATTTCCTCTTTAACAAGCTTATATTTAATGAAATCATATTTAGTGTTTTGTATATATTGCATAGAATATGCAATTTTGTGAAAATATGGTTTTCTTAGTTTTTGGACTTAACAATAATCATATCCATATTTTATTAAGTCCATATAATCATTGTGCAAAGTTTCAAAATATGGTTTAGCCAAAATATCAAATTTCACATGTTTACATTTTCGCGTTTTGAACTATTTTGCAAAATGATGATTTTTCACAAATGGGAAATGCAATTTGGAAAAAAAAATTTGTAACATGTTCATTTACATGTTTATATACATTTCCCAAAGTTTTATTATTTTTGGACTTCATTTGTTATTTTTAACAGTTTTCCAAAGTTCAGCTTTAAAAACCAGTTTTTGAATATGTCAGTTTTCGGTCGACCGAACCGGTCGACCGAACCTGAGTTCATATGCTCACTGGGCGACAGAGAGTCTTTCGGTCGACCGGTCCGGTCGACCGATAAAATTTCCGGTCGACCGATGAATTTTCCGGTCAACCGACGAGAGCTTTTTCAGCTTCCAACGGCTAGTTTTCTTACCGTTGCTGGGCTGTTTCTGTCTTTTTGCTTGGGGTTTTTGGCTGAGTTGTGAGAGGATATAAATACCCTATTGCCTTCAATTCTCAAGCTAAGCCAAGAAGTTTTTAACAAGGGTTTTAAAAAGGGTTTAAGCTTGTTTTAAGCTTGTTTAAGGGTTTGGGTTAAAGTTGTTTTAGTTTTCACAAGTGGAGGAGATTATCTTCTTGTTTGGGCTTCAATCTCCATCTCTCCATCTTGTTATTCAGAGAAGAATCTCTAAACTCATTTCTAGCTATTCATTATTTTGTTTATAATTTCTATATGCTAGATTTTAATTGAGTTTAGTTTTGATTTTGATTTCACTCATTGTTTACACACACCCACTTGAGCTTATTGTATTTGCATTCATAATATATTAGGGTTGTGAGAGTTGTAACATTGAGTGTGAGCTTTTATTGTGTTCTCATCCATATTAGAAAATAATTTATATTTGTTACATTGTGAGATTGTTAGGTTTTCGGTGAGCTAGAAACCGAGTGTGTTGTGAAGTTTTCGGTGAACTAAAAAATCGATTGTGAGGAGTGACGTTGATCGGTGAGCGTTGAAAACCGATACTGTGAGGTGTAAACGTTATTCGGGTGAGCGTAGAAAACCCGGTTGATAGTGGATTTTTCCCCGGGAGTGGGGAGCGGAGACGTAGGACGGAAGGTCCGAACTCCGTGAACATATTGCTTGTTTGAGTGTGCTTTGACGTTCATTCATATTTATGTTCATATCTTATATCACCATTGTGCATTGCTCATTTCTATATCATCCACTATCTTGTTTAGATTGTTTACCCTTGTGTCGTTTATATATCCTTGCATATATACATATTCATCATATAGGATATATCTCTTTGTTTGCATTGTTTATCCTAGCTTATATATCTTGTGGTATTTCATACTTGCTATGATAACTTGTTAATTAATTTCAATTGGCATTTTAATCGGATTAGATTAGCATAAGACCCTAATCACCCCCCTCTAGGGTCTAACAAAATATTTTTTTAATATTTGGTTCATAAACAAGTAGAATTTAACCAAAGATATATTTGACTCGGTTGGTTATTAATTATTCGAGTATATTTTACATTTTAGTCATATGAATTTAACTCATTACAAATATTACTCATCCAAAATATTATTTCAAATCGTACCCCATATAAATACAGTCAATAGAGCCTATGGTTTTACTTTATGTGAAACTATATTTTTTATGCATCATGACATAAATAAGTAGACCTAATGCTAAAATGCTGCCAACATACTGATTTAATAGAATAATTAGATTAAGAAATATTAATAACATATACTTTTATATCAAATAGTCTAAAAAAATATTGTAGTTTTTGTATATTTAGTTTTTAAAAATTTTGTGAATAATGCCATTAGTTAAGAAGATTGACTTTTGTTCAATATTAGAAAGTAAAGGGTAACAAAATTTACATGTTAAAATAGTGCCACAAGTGTGGCTCGAGCCTAAGACCAAACACTTGGTAGAGGAATAACTTACCATATGTGCTAATCATATATTCATGAAAATTTATCGAATACATAAATATTAACACGAATCGAATTTAAACACCAACTACAATTCGCCTTGAATTCGAATTCACATTTGAATAGAGAAAATTTACCGAATTCAAATTTGAATACATTAGTATTCGATCTGATTCGGTTCTTCACCACCCCTAATTATGGGGTGTCTTAGAAACCCCCCTTCAACTATTTTTGTCACGCCTCCAAAGTCTGATGCAAATCACTTATCCTGTTGAAAGAGTGCTCATGTTGTTCCTAGCTATCTAGTTATAAAGCCAACAAACAATATGTCAATGATCACTAAAAGCAACTTTGAAACTTATTTGTAAACATTACTATTATAAACTTCTAAGCCTAGGACTTCTAAACCTAAGCTCTGGTACCACAACTTATCGTGCCCCCAAAGTACACCACAAGCTTGGCATGCGTCTTCGCACTTGTCACCGTTGTCATGCATCTCAAAATATGTTGCGCACTTTGGGGACGTGACAATTTTAATTTAAGAGACTCCCCTCAAGTTTAATTAAGCCTATTGTAGATAACTCCATTCGAGTTTGAAAATTCAAGAAACCTCCATGAATACTTCTCACTTCATGCCCTGAAAGCTAACACCGATAGGTCTAACATGTCACATGACAAGTAGATGACTGAGAAAATACCAAAATACCCATCAATCATAAAAAATTAACCTGAATTCTTTTAGGATAAGAGAAAGAGAGGAGAATGAGGGAAAGAAATTATTGTAAAATTGATCAAGATGTTTTTTTACTGGTAGGGGGTTTCTTTGGATCTAAATGGGTCGATTAGCAAAAGTTTTCCGGTTATTTTACGTTTTGAAATGACATCAAGGGTGCTTGGTGAGAAAAATGTGAAAGATTAGTAGGGTTCTGTGAGACACACTATAGATGAGGAGGACGGTCTCTAAGTTCCAAAGTGTAGTGGGGTTATCTATAATATGCTTAAACTTTGGGGGTTCTCATATTAAAATATCTAAAGAGGGCTTTTCTAAGACATACATCAAAGTTGAGTGGATTTTTCTAAAATTAGCCCTAAAACCATATATGCAATTAAACATTAGTTAAATTTAATGGATTTTCTTCCTCTTAAAATATTATTGACGAATTAGTCAAGTTTTTGTTGGTTTGATATCCTATCTTTATTGATTTTTATAAATAGGGGTTATTGATTCACCCATGTCTCTCTTTAAAATATTAATAAAACACAAGATACCATAAAAACATATAACATGCAAGATCTATATAATTAAAGAATTTGCTATTACAAAATATTCATTACAATCCGCATAAAATAAATAAATCATTTACACAAATTACCTAAAATATTACCCCGAATTCTCCCTGCTTTATCCAATTTTTTCTAATAGTTAAATTGAAGCTCTAATGGTTTCTTAAGATTATTTTAGAAATAAATATTTGGATTCTTAAAATTGTTTTATGGATATTTTAAAACCATATATAATCTTTTCAAAAAGTTATAATTCTAATACAAGCATCACAATATTGAGGCTTAAGCATAAGAATGTTTTAGATTATGTAAATATGTGAAGGTCTTATATCTCATCTAACTGCAATATTTTATTTTATTGCTTCCTGTTGTAAGGTTCAACTCAATGTACTCTTTAGTTCATACCAAATATTAAAAAATGATAATAAAACAACGTAAGATGACCTTGCCGGTTGGCAAAATATTCATAGTTCCTACATCAAAGAGATATATTGACTTTTTGTATATCCTTTTTATTTTTTAGATGTTATAAAAAAGGAGAGATATTACAAAGGAAAGTTTAATGGTTAAAACTATCTAATTTAACTATCTAATTTTGAATAGGAGATTTTGAAATAAAAACTAATCCACGCACTCATTCGGTCAGCTGATTTTTTTTTAACTTTTTTTATTTTAGAACATTATAAATAAAGAAGAATGTTGTAAAAGATAAGGTGGTGGTTAAACTATCTAATTCTGAATTTCAAATTTTGAAATAAAAGTCATCTACTCCCTTATTTTGAATTTCTTTTAAAGTTTCAACCTATTTGAAGAAAAAACTCCAGTTTACATAACATGATTTTCAGTAATTCACATGCAGTCATTTGAATAATCCATTTGTATGCTCATATCCATAAAAATTGAAGTATATATAAAAAATAGAAAAGAAGAAACCACAGTTAAAAAAAATTGTTAAATTCAATTTAGAACTACATGCACATGACTAAAGAAGAAACCAGTAGAGACTAAACAAATAAGATATAAAAAATATAGATCCTTGGTCTTTGAAGCTAAAGAGTAATGACGTGGGTTCATTTCTCACGACCCGTTTCATATTACTTATTCTACATGTCGAACTCACCCGTGCGAGCACAGGCAAAATACTTGTCAGTAAATATGATTAAAGGGGTTCAGTTACTAAGTTACTTAGGGGGATACTAGAAAAAAAGATGAAAGGAAAAAAAATAAAAAGTCACCATAAATATATGCTAGCAATAAGTAGTAAGCAGATTGAACTCTTACAACGGACCAGCGCCTTACCCTTAAAGCATAATAAGACACTAAAAACTTGAACCAGAAGTTGTTTGAAAAAGAAGTTAGAATTGCAACTTTAAACAGCTGTGAACCTTTTAAACATGGTTTGCAGTTTTTATACAGCAGTCTTCTGACCAGTAGGTGTGAGTAGCGTGACAAAAGTCCATCAGTGGAAGAGTATAGCATAATCTAGTAGATAAATAAGAAACTATTTTTTATACTTAACTTTAAATTGAGAGACGAATTTGACAGGCATGCAAAATACAAAAATGGCATAAAGCAGTTAGGTATTGACTTTAACATCATATTGTCGACTTATACCCATGTCAGCTCAGTTCTTACTAAGAATGTAAAACCTCCTGGAGAGCAAGGAGGATGATGTAAAGTTATTTTCTTAGATAATGCATTTTCAAATGAACTGTTCACACCTAAGAACAGGCTGTTACGAATGAAACCACCTAGTTTTCTATCACAAGTCTACAGAAGTCTATTCAATTCAAAAATCTCCAGGCACGTACAAGTTTAAAGGCTAAAGAACCTAGTTGTTAAAACTGTGAACATTCAAAGATTAATCTGAGACCAGTCGCCACAATATAATCAGCACCCGTTCATCATGATTTATTGTAGCATTTCGAACCAGACACTACAGTACAGTCGATCCAAAAAGGCTAGTCAGTACTGGGATCAAACAACTTTAAAACTTTGGTAAAATATTACAGTGTTGTTCACCTAAGTCACCAGGAACATAACTGACATTAGCTTAGCATCATAAGGGATATCTGGTTTCTTGCATCTAGGAAAATTGATAGATAATATGATCATTTGAGAAAATTCTGGTTGGAGAGAATAGGGCACATCTGACGGGACTGGATCAAACTAGCAGTGATGAAGTACACTAGAATCGAAAAATTAATATCCTTAAAAATTCTTACCTACAAGATCTCCACAGATGATACAAAAAAAGATACACGGTTTCTAGTTTCAACAATACAAACAGAACATAGTGCATTTCTTTAAAAGCCATCCTCCAGAGGAGAAGAATGCAAAAATCTGAGCCACCTTAACAATCTTAGCCATAGAAAAGATAAATACAACACAAAAAACAAAGTAATACATAATAAAACTGTTATAGCTTTGTAAAGAGTCTAAAATACACCGTCATGATGGAAAATTAAGAACAGAGATATATAGGCAGGTCCAATATCCAAATAATTCCAATTTGAATATTTTAAACTAATAAAGAAAGAGAAACAAACCTTTGCAAAGGTGCTTGCGAGATCATCAATGTCAGATAAAGATCTTAAAATCTCCCCCTGCAAGTATAACAAATGTCTTATGTTAAAGAACATGTCAAATAACAGGCATCATCTTCTACAGGAAATGCACATCATCTACCATACTTAAGAAGGTACGATAATTTATGAAGTTCTTCAACCTAGATGAGAATTGGAAGCTTGTGTAAAAAGATAGTGCCAACCAAATACTATTAAAAAGAGAAAAAAGAACTATCTACAGAACTAATTAATATGCCCAGACTTCAGCAATGTCTAAGGTCATTTCAACCAGTGCAGCAGGTGAAGGACAAAGAAAGCATAGCGCTCGCGCCCATGTCTACAGGTTACAGACGGGCGGATCCAGTCATGAGGAAGTGGTGTCACATGACACCATTTCCTCATGAGTTATTATGAGTTACATAGTTTTGTGTCTTGATTCTACTCATGGCCTTGGTCATATAAGCAAATAGACCTAAAATAAATGAAATTGCTTTGCTTCACATTCAACCCCTAGCAATAGATAAAATGAACATGTGACCCACTACAGATATATCCTAGTTTAACTAGGTGAAGGGTTAAAAGTAGTTTTTTTAATAATATTAAGAGGGTATATGGTCTTTGTGTTTGCTTTTGTTCCAGCATTTTTGAAGTGTGTACATACTCGTCTGATCAATTTAATCTAACATGTTCCTTCATGGATTGAAATTACTAGGATCCGATTATGTATTTGACAGTGTTTTTAATAATGCAATTATTTTTTTTTCAAAATATGAAAAATTTTCAGGGACAATTGTAAAATTTTTAAATATTAATTATGTAGTGACACCACTTTCTAGAAACTATGGATCCACCACTGGTTATAGATCCATACTGCCAAGAAGTTCATTCACACTTTTACACATGATAAAACTAGTCATCCACATTTCAACAACAAATGATTACAAAGAGCAATGTTGTAAAAGGCGGCCTAGGCGGACTCCTAGGGGTCCGTCTAGGCATAGGCGGACCATTGGCCGCCTAGATTTGGCCGGAGCGGCCAGTCTAGGCGGCTGTTCCGCCTAGGCACTACCTAGCTTTTTGAAAAATAAAAAGAAAAATGAACTAATTTTTGTTGGGTATGACCGTCTATGAACATTGTTTGATAATAACAAACCCCTATGAACGTTCTGATCTGTGTGTTGAGTTGTGCAGGTTGCAGGTTGAACGGAAAATGATTGTATATATATATATATATATATACGTATATGTTCGTATATCTATATATAAAAATATATTAATAAATATTTTGTTATATTGTTAATTAATAAATAATACATTTATATATACTTATACATATATACTTATATATATACATACTATTTCCAAAGCCCAAGAAAATTTATTTTACAAGATTTTTGTGGGAGGATATTTCAGCGAATAATTGTGTGCCACGTGGTATATGGGGTGCAGAAAAAACGGTACAAATACAGTCCTATACCAGTATATGCACAAAGTTTCTATGGGTGTTTTGATTTTTCTATGGTCATGTCATATCCAAGGGGCAGAATTAAACCCTAAGAAGATTAGGGTTAGCAAAGCCTACTTAAAGGCTGTTAATGACGGCAGGAAAAAAATGAACGCAGAAATACAAAAAATTACAGCAGAATTTGCAGTTCCTCCTCCTTGCGCAGGCTTCACTCAAAAATTCGTAGAAATTCGCAGAAATCTCCGTTTTCCGATCCGTCAGAAGCTGTACGAAGTAGACTCAGCGCCAGACGCGCCAATACCAGTTTTAAAGCGAGTACTACTTCAGAAAATTCCAGATAGACGCGACATCCTTGAGCAGAATACAACAGAATACGCAGATCCTCGTCCTTGCGCAGGCTTCGCTCAAAAATTCGTAGAATTCGCAGAAATCTCTGTTTTGCGATCCGTCAGAAGTTATACAAAGTAGACTCAGAGCCGGACGCGCCAATACCAGTTTTAAAGCGAGTACTACTTTAGAAAATTCCAGATCGACGTGACATCCTTGCGCAGAATACAGCAGATCCTCCTCCTTGCGCAGGCTTCGCTCAAAAATTCGTAGAAATTCGTAGAAATCTCCGTTTTGCGATCCGTCAGAAGTTGTACAAAGTAGACTCAGAGCCGGACGCGCCAATACCAGTTTTAAAGCGAGTACTACTTTAGAAAATTCCAGATCGACGTGACATCCTTGCGCAGAATACAGCAGATCCTCCTCCTTGTGCAGGTTTCGCTAAAAAATTCATAGAAATTCGCAGAAATCTCTGTTTTGCGATCCGTCAGAAGCTGTGCGAAGTAGACTCAGAGCCGGACGCGACAATACCAGTTTTACAGCGATTACTACTTCAGAAAATTCCAGATCGATGTGACATCCTTGCGCAGAATACAGCAAAATACGCAGATCCTCCTCCTTGCGCAGGCTTCGCTCAAAAATTCGTAGAAATTCACAGAAATCTCTGTTTTGCGATCCGTCAGAAGCTGTGTGAAGTAGACTCAGAGCCGGACGCGCCAATATCAGCTTTACAGCGAGTGCTACTTCAGAATATTCCAGATCGACGTGACAAGACAACATTAAGCATCTCTAAAACTTTGTTCCTTTTATTTTATTCGTTGTCGATCTGTATTGTCTTTTTCACTTATTTTGAAGTCTAGATCTGTTTTAGGTTAGGTTGCAGACTACGGGGTTGTAGTTCGTGGGAATTGCTAGTAGATTCAGTTTACATAGTGGTGGTAACCATCAAATCGTGTCGGGGAAGACGATTGCGGTGGGTAGCCAATCTTATTGGGTGTAAGGGGTTGTAAAACTGTTTTGCTAGTGAATCTGGTTGCAGGACGTAGGCGTGGGGGCCGAACCTGGGTACATCTATATGTGCTTTATATTCGCATTACTTTCTGCATATTATAACTGTTTGTATTTGTGATTTAATATATCTGCGTGGCTGTTTGGTTGTTTGGCTAAATTAAAATTTTATAAATTGGTCATAGCCTATTCACCCCCTAGGCTATTCCTCGATCCAACAATTTTAAACTAAAACTCAACCCAAACCCGAACTCATAACCCAAACCTGAACCCATATCTTAACTCCTAACCTAACCCTATCTCTCTTTGACTCTCTATCACTCTCTCTCACTCCTTCATTTCCATACTCCCACCACTTCCTCTTCTCTCCCCGCCTCCTCCTCTTCT